TTGACTAAAGTATTCAAATTAACTTTTCGACTGAATTATTCGACTGGTTTATTCGACTGGATTATTTGACTGAACTAACTGACTGATTTTATCGACTGGACGAGGCCACATGAATGAAAATGTCAAATACCTCATCCCCCCCCTCCACCCCATCGCACCCCCTTTCTACGTTCATATCATATATAGGGACTCCATTCTTTTCGAGGTGGACAAGGACAGCTATCTACATGTATAGTTGTTCGGATGGGACGAAAAACATTTTATTGTTTATGAAAACATTTACTAAATTTTAATTTGTTTTTGCCGGTTTTTATCATAGCTATAATTAGTAATGAGTGGCTGTCGTAAATTTGACCGAGATTTGTTTTATTTACGTAACGACAATATAATGCTATAAAGAATGACTATGGTCTAAAATAGGAAAATTAATAAGAATTCTAAGTACGAACTAGTCGGGTTAAAACACATTCTAAATAAGATTTACGACAACCAGCAATTATAAAATGAAAGTAGTAAATATCGATACCAGAAAAACCTATCGATACAGTGTATCGGGCCTCGTCGTATTGCAATATATCGATATTGCATTTTTTTTTGACAGCCCTACGGGCTTCCACCCATCTTAACATCTCCCGACGACAAAGAGTGAAAGACAAACAACAACAGTCAAGGAAAACCGTCAACAAGGTCACATTTCCAAGGTCATAAATGTCAAAGCGGAAGTAGACAAGTATTAAATGGAATTGTCTCCATTGGAGTAGAAACTGCACTACACCGCGTTTCGTGTGTCATCTTCGTCAATGTACATTTCTATCTAATTCTATTGAAAAACAGTACTGTACCGGCGGGCAAGTCCCAATGAAAGTTTTACTTGTCTGCCGTAAATTTTACTTGTCCCGGGCAATCGGACAAGCGCTAATGTCGCAGACTGCAGGGTACGAAATAACACGCGAATGGTCGTTCAGGTTACGCATCGGTTACCATGACCTGGAAACACGCGAACGGACTTCCGTTCTCGACCACCGAGCTATAATTTATAAACTAAAGGTTTCAGTTAAAATATTCCCTCCACTACTACATTAAAACATTTTACAATTATAAATAAATGCCTGAAAGATCGTTAAGTTCGCACCTGTCATTTTGGCGGTAGCAAATCAACTCGCGGACCCATCATACCTGGCAACGTCATACTCAATCTGTTTTACAGACCTAATGCGACATCCGTCTTTTACAATGTTTACCAACAAAGCAAGATGGCATCGATAACGCCAAAAAAGATTACTACTGTGGCTTGTTTTTGTTGTTTTAAAACAAACACGAGCAGGTCAATCAGATTAGACGGTAAAAAATGTACTTCTGAAAGAATTCAGAGTAAACAAACAGAAAAAAAACGTCAAATTGATGGTCACACGTGCGTTGTTTACATCGAACGTAGTAATATGAACTGGTACGGGCAGAATTATATCGTTTTACCCATTTTACGCCTCCGCGTACTATTTTCTGTACCTATTTACGCTAATTATGTAATATTTTTTATCAAGATATACTTCAAACACCATTATTTATTTTTCTAATACTAAAAAAAAATGTTTCAGAATTTAATTTGTCGAAAGAAAAAAGTTAATATTTTTTTAGTCATTAAGTCGCATCGATGTCATCCTTATCAGTGATTGTAGCGGCCAAGCGAATATTCACTGCGGATCAGTGTGCGTCATACTCATTAGCCTATTTAGTATTTAGCGAACGAAAGCGCCAGATCAATCAACTGATTTCTATTGTTTTTATTTCTTAAATTAATGGTGATTGAGTAATAAAAATAAAACACCCAATGAAAAGGAATGTTATATTCGCAAATTATCAAATAAAAAACATACTTTTCAACAATGGATCTTCCGGTATTTACGTAATAGGTCAGGGGTGAAAATTCACACCGTGTCAATGACTTTGGCATTATTCCAATATTTTCACGTTGTCACTCACGGCTAATAATTTTATGACATGGAAAGTGAAATGGAATCAGATTTTTTATGATTTACTGCCAGGCATATCGTAGAACATGATAATGTCGAAGAAATCAACTATTTGTTATTTTTGGGGTACGTTATGAATGATGCGAAGCAGCCGAGATCAATCGTGTCGGCCGCCATATCTTGGATACGTTTCCAGACAGACGATACCACAAAACTTATGGATAATAATTCTAGAGTTTGGAAAGCTAAATTGAATCAAAACTTTTAGGATTTAATACAAGCTACATAGAGGAATATTACATTGCCGAAGATTTCAACTATATATTTTTATTTTCGATGCAATGAAGCAAAGAAGACGACAATTCCCACCATATATCCAACAAAGGCAGAAATGTCACATAGCGATGAAGTGACGGTCATTTGGGGCGATATTTCTTTCTAAAAGTTATATATTTATATTTACTTTGAACACTGTTCTTTTTTTTAAAATAAAATCTTAGGAGATACATGTTCACGTTTATTATGACAGAGAAAAGTCATAATTTTAGTGGAACTGACTTTTCAATATTATTTATAGTAATATACCGGTAATTGTTAGTTTGTACAATTGAATTTTATATCATTGGAAAGAACACGACAATCTGTACATTTTTGTATAAAAAATTTTTTTTTTTAGTTATTTGCAATTTTGTAGAGAGTTTTAGGATTAACAATAATCCACTAATTCGCTTAGGGATATGGGCCCTGCTGATTTAATAAGCTTAGGGGTAGCTGGCTAATCTTTTAATTGGCCCCAAATCCCCCTAGGCTAATTCGAGGGTCGGCTCTAAACAAATATGGTTACCAGTTCAAATTTGATGCAGATTAGCGTAACCTATTTTGAGGTTACCATATAAGAGGCTTATTTCATACCCTGAGACTGCCCATACGCCCACCTCCCCCACCCCCCACCCCCCAATAGCATCCCCTTTCTACGTTCATATCATATATAGGGACTCTATTCTTTTCGAGGTGGACAAGGACAGCTAACTAGGCCACTGGACGAGGCCACATGAAAATGTCAAATACCTCATCCCCCCCCCCCGCCCCACCCCATCGCATCCCCTTTCTAAATTCATATCATATATAGGGACACTATTCTTTTCGAGGCGGACAAGGACAGCTGTCTAGTCGTTCGGATGGGACGAAAAACCGAGGTCCCGTGTACACATTGACGTGCACGAAAAAGATCCCTTGACAGATGGAATTCGATATAAGAGTAGGCCGTAGTGCCACTGTCCGGGCAAAATTTCCCTCATAGCACACTGTATGGCGTATGCCCGTCTTCATTAACCCAGTTCGTAGCAGAACAGTAGGATGTTAAACCCCATTTCATTTCTTTTCATTTCTTGAAACTAGTTGGGAAGCCCCCCGTCCCCTACCCCATGCCCCTTCAGCTGTCTAGTCGTTCGGATGGGACGAAAAACCGAGGTTCTGTGTACACATTGGCGCCTGCGGATGAGGGAAAGGGTAAAGCATGATTTTATTTAGCCGCGGTGGCAATAACTAAGATAACACCTTAAAATTTTACTTTGAACAATCAAATTTGAATGAGGGAACGTAAAAAATAAACAAAAACAATGATAAAAGATATTGGAATTATAGTTACTCCATTGTAACTGTAATTGTGGTACAGCACGAATTTTCGTTTACAATAAAAATTCCATTCCTAAATTTGGAATATTGGCTGAGCGCAGTTATGAACCGGTCTGCGCTGGCGTCAGTTTATTACAATGGCAGTCTCATTCAAATGAATGTTGTTTGTGTTTTTGTATCGTACAATTCTACATGAAAATAGTGTTGGATTATTATAAATTTGTGTCAGATGTGTCAGGAAATGATTCCTGTTGGTGATCAAAGAAGAATCACGGTGAGGAAAAGTCTTATTTTCATAATAGTTGCCATTCAGGCCCACCAGTAACGTAGTAGAAGGCTGTTCAGAGCCGATACAATTTACGTTACTAAAGTAACTATTGGAATTAGTGCGTTTTTTCTTTAACTTATACTGATTACAAACTATTCCAAAATTTTAATAAGCCATCGACTGGTTTATTCGACTGACTATTTGATTTGGACTTAGGGTCGACTCAACTGACCCGCATCCGTACTTGAGACCTTGAGTGTCGGGTTGGTGGTTCAACATAGTAAGTGATGAAATATTACATTATTTAACATTTTTTGTATCACTTGAGAAAATTAATTATGAAGGTTTTATATAGAGCGGTGCTTGAGCAAAGCTCTTTTCCGGTAACACAGGAGCGTAATTGAAAATGTCACCCACAGACTGTTGATTAAAAAAAAATTCAGACCGGAACCGGATACACTGGGTAAAACAGGCAATGGCAATGCGCCAAACGAGATCACCTAACTAACAAAAATAATTCTACACACCAAATCTCGCCCAACGAGATTACGCGCCTCATAGAACTATTTCTATGACGCGTCTAATCACTGACGTCACATATTTTTTACGTCAATGAAAATAATTCTCACACGTTTTTGTTCTTTTTTTAAAAACAAAATTAATGTTAAAATTTAGATCTAAATCAAAATCAATTTTGAAAAAACTAAATTATTTAACATTTTTTGTATCAATTGAGAAAATTAATTATAAGGGTTGTATATTTGACAATAATCAGCTTCGCTCTACTCAGGCAATGCCTTTTACATATTATTTGACAATAATCAGCTTCTACTCAGGCAATGCCTGTTACATATCAGATCTACTTACTGTTGGTTGCAAAGCTACCGGCAAGTTCTCTATGACTATGAACGCCGCCATCTTCGATTATTGTTTTTAGTAAAGCTCTTTGATTTAATTTCGTATCTAGACATTTAGAGTTTTTCTTGTATTGTGTAATATATTTGTATTATAAATCAATAAAAAATAAAGGTAGTTTAATACTTACATTTACATACGATGAAATATGCAAGAAAATAACAAACTACAAATTTCTTTATTTTTATCTACGAAATCTTCAGCAGAGCTACTAATGTTTTAACCTTTCGCGGTTTTAGCATCGATCGTATATAATAAAATATGACCACGACGTTTGGGACTCGAGAAAAAGTCACAAAGCCAATTGAATTATAAATATATTTTATTACAATAAAAAAATACCAACGATTTAAATAACATTTATTTTAACAATACATTTATTTAATACATAAATCACCGATTGAATAAACAAATACCAACGATTTAAATAACATTTATTTTAACAATACATTTATTTAATACATAAATCACCGATTGAATAAACAAATACCAACGATTTAAATAACATTTATTTTAACAATACATTTTTTAAATATATAAATCACAGATTGAATAAGAATTATTGTTAATATATTGTTCTTTTTTTGCTATCTTATGAGTACTGTTAACGTATATTATATACTAAATACTTTAATTGTTCGAATCAACTTATATCTGTACTTAATTTACTGGTGGTCCATATATTTAAGATATTTTTTTCAGTAATCGGCTGGTCGAAATTTCCATAGATGGTATAGTTCTATGGTTGAACACTACAGTCAATACCCAACATTGCAGTTTTAGTTAAGTATATAGTAGGCACACATCTTTGTTTAATACAGATTGATTCTTGACATTCGTAAAAATGTACGGGGTAACTGATTTTTGACAAATGGACATACTGCTAGTGCTACTGCTAGGCCTATTATTTTTTAGCATTGTTTTTGGAGGCTTCAGTTCTAGTTGGGGCTACTCGGATGACATAACCCATTCAAACTCATTGATAGAAATAAATATATGAACTATATGAAGGGCTAACATTTCTAGGCTCATGTCTATCTTTATCTTAGTATCTATAGTATAGACTACCACTGAAAACCATCATTATTAATAAGCATTAAGAATTTATATTGAGGGAATTGTCAATGTCTGGATAATAAGATCTTTAATTTTTTTATTTTACTAATTTTTTTAGGCACAACTTATTGCATCTTTGAGTGCCATTCCTGTCATCTATTGAGTAGCCTACCCAGCCTTTCTCTGGGTTACTGAAATTTTTTCAAAGGTAAAAGTAAAAGAAAAATTACAAGATTGAAGATAATAATTTTGGGAATTGAGCGCATCAACGACATTGTCAGTGAAAACCAACACTTCCTGCCCTCTGCTTGGACCTTGAAATTTGAGGGGGTGGTTGGATGAATGGTCTAACCATGGAGCTTATTATATAAGGTTCATGGTCTAACATGGGCCTTAGTTAGGTAGGGGGGTTGGATGGCTGAATGGTTAGCTTGCGCGCGCTGTATCATAAAGTCTGTCATTGAGTCGATTGGCGTGGTTTCGAATCCCCGGTTGTACGTGGCAAGGAGTAGGGTCGCCTGTCCAACCTCGTGGGTTTTCTCTGGGTCCTCCGGTTTCCTCCCACTGCTAAAGACCCCTACGCGCAAGCGAATTATGTAAATAAAATTAAACCATATGTTAGTCCCGAAATGACCTAGTTTGTGCGAGAGGACGTTAAACCCCATTTCTCTCTCTCTCTCCTTAGTTAGGTCAGAATGTATGTCTTTGAGTCAAGTGCCCTGGAAAGGAGTAAAATTGCCTGACTAACCTTGTTCGTTTTTTCTGGGTCTTTCGTTTTCCTCCCACTGTTTTTAAATACCTACGGTTTAAAGGGAATTATTGAAATAAAATTCTACATGTTATATATTATTAGTCCAAAAATGCCCCCATTTCTCTCCCTTGGGGGTGGGCCCTATTAGCAACAGGTGAATCCCATTTTAATCTGGTTTTACCTGTCATAGGTGCAGAGTCGCCACTGGTTTGTCCAAAAATCTGATCAGAAACCCAAGATGCGGTAACGAGAGAAGATTAAATAGCGTGGGTTTTAACTGACGATAAAAACGATGGGTGTTGCTTTAGCAAATACCAATATGATCAAAGAAGTTCAACCTAACTTAAAAGTAAAGGAGCTAAATCTGTATTCTTTGGCACCTAGAAATGAACACAAATAGGTCGCAAAGCAATAATGTAAAATGAATGTATATAAACTGATTTACATTCAGTCGTTTCTGTTTTTAGTGTAATTTCTAATCTGTTATGCTCGGCAAAATATGCAAAGTGTCCAAATTGAATGTCAGTCATTGGTGTCTGGTTATTCCAGTCTACACTGGTAGTATTCTCCTGTTTGGTATGTTTAGTCTCCTGTTTGTGGACATGAAACTTCATTTTCTCGCACATTTAGCTCCCTTTTCCTTAATTAAAATGTGTTCTTTTGAAATGGATGTCATAAAGAAAAAACCTGATTGAGAATATTTGTTTTGCAGGTGCATTTTTGAAATAAACCCAGATAACGGACAGAAATCATGAAAAAGAGGAAGACTCAAGTGTGCCAAAAAGTGATATAACTAATTACTGAACCGTCAAACTTTGAATGGATGAAGTATGGTTGCAGCAATATACTGGTACCGTCAGATGGTATACGGTGTTTTAGATGTCACATTTCGGGTCAAGGTGCTTTAAATTCCGTACCACGGTTCGGTTAACATGGTACAGATATTTTAACTGTCCGTTTTCTTCCGATGCTCAACTTCGAGCTGGACGATATTGGTAAAATCAAATATCGCGATATTTCCCCAAAAAAACGACGATATATCACTATATCGCGATATTTTAGTTTTATTATAAAAAGCTAACAATATATCGCGATATATCACAATATCCCGATATTTTAGTTTTATTATAAAAGATGTGATTATATAAGTGTTAAAAACAGGTCATTCCCACCCCCTTAGGGTGCATTATTCCTGTTTCAAAAGCACAGACCGAGAATTAAGTTCAAGGGTTAGGGTTTTGGCTAGGCAAATGTGGAGAGGGGTGGGGGAGAAAATTGGGGATAAGGGACTGAGCCACGGCCCTTTTATGAGTGGTACTTTGTAAATGAGGCTTTAAACACACTGCAAGAAATCTTTTTAATGAATCTTCTTAATTAAACTTGATCTTATTTTACTTTTGATAAGATGTCAGTTTACTTTGATGGAAATATCTGTTAGTCATCTAGTTTGTCCATCCACAATTTGGTACATTTGTAAAATCATTGTAATGAATTTTCTTAATTAAACTTGATCTTCTTATTGTACTTTTGATAAGATGTCCGTTTACTTTAATGGAAAAATCTGTTGGTCATTTAGTTTGTCCATTCACAATTTGGTATATTTGTAAAATTATCCTCGGTTCATTTTGTCTCTAAATATCAACTTCCTTGCATAAACATTAAAAATGTGCTACTCTCATCTATGCATTTCATTTTGGGACCGGTACATTAACTTTGTCAGTAGTCGAGTTCCATCTAAATTTTTATCAATGAGACTGAATCAATTTATGCCATTCTCACTAAGGAATGTACATACTTAGGCAGAGTTATTGTGCAAAATTGTATACATTTTCAAACAGAGATTAAGCTAATCATTGAAACAAGCTGTACATTCAAGGTAGAATAATAGGAATTCTGCATTGATGCTGTTCTTGTTTTAAAGTCATGATACTTTTTGGGTTCAATAATTGTTAGATTTTAAATTGTTCATTTAAACATTTAGAATGCAAATTCGTTAATCTCCAAAAAATTTCATGATTTCATTAGATCATGTTTTACTGTTATAATTTACTGATAAGGTGATAGTTTTACTTTCATGTTGTTGATGTTTTAAATAATAGATTTGAGGTAAATATTATAATACCATGGTAAGATTTTAGAAAAAGATTTGAGGGTAATACTATTGTAACACACTGATTTTATATTTGTAGAATAGATTCTGAATGTTATTGTTATACTATAAAAAATTCATTTAAATATTATAATGTAAATGTTACATGTACAAGAATTTGAATGGATAATTTTATTATTGTTAAATTTTTCATGAACTTTCCTTTGGACATTTGTATTTTGTTCGTTATTATTAATGAAGAATTATGTAAAGAGCTTTGTTTTTGTTGAAATATACCACCAAACTGCTTGACAGCCAAAGAATATTTTCAATCTCTAAACCTCCATTTTGTAATAGCAAACCTGCTCTTGATCAAATATTTTAAAAATATGGGTTTGTGGTTGACAGGTTTTTTTTTTTAAGGCAGTTGTTAGCTTTACTTACTGACAGTAATCTCCAATTTCCAGTATTTTCAGGTCTTTTTATTATATCTTAAACTATCATGTAAAAGCATTTTTGAGGAATTATATCTTGTTTTGAATAATTAAATTCTGTTTTTAAACTTAAGTAAATGTCTTTTTGATGCTTATCATACCATAAGTTTTTTACTGCTATAAAACATTTTCCGTAAAATTTACGAACAAATGGCTGGCAGGTAGGTTGCCAATCTTTGGTCGTAATTTTTACGACATGTTCGTAAAAAATATATTTATGGTGTGTCGTAATTTTTACTACATTAGTTGGCAATCTAGCTGCCAGCCATTTGTCCGTAAATTTTACGGAAAAATTTTATGGTGATATAGTCGTTCGGATGGCATAAAAAAAAACGAGGCCCCTTGTCCGGAATCGAAATGAAGTGGGAGTTAGGGTGGCTCAGTGATTAGGACGTTTGTTCTTTAACATGATTAAAGTTCGGAGCCATGGTGGCTAAGTGGGTAAGATGCTGGCTTACTAAACTGGAGGTCACATGGTCGATCCCTGCATTGGCCGAGAAAGTTCATCAGGGTTTTCCGATGTGGTTTCCCCTTGTCAGTGGTGCAGGGCGGAGGGCTTAACAAGGACAGCTGTCTAGTTGTTCGGATGGGTCGAAAAACCGAGGCTATAAATTGGCGTGCATGTAATTGGAAGTTTGAATTCGATATAAGCCGAGGCCTTGGTGCCGCTGCCCGGGCACAATTTTCCTCATAGCACACTGTATGGCGTATGCCCGTCTTCATTAGCCCAGTCAGAGCAGAACAGTAGGACGTTAAACCCTATTTCATTTCATTTCATCAAAGTTTATCTCAAATTTTCAAGCGGGGTTTACCAATGTCAGTTGTGAAGGAGAGAAATGGGGTTTAACGTCCACTCGACAAAAACTAGGTCATTTCGGGACTAACATATGGTTAATTTTATTTCATTAATTCGCTTGCGCGTAGGGGTCTTTAGCAGTGGGAGGAAACCGGAGAAAACGCACGAGGTTGGACAGGCGACCCTACTCCTTGTCACGTACAACCGGGGATTCGAAACCACGCCAGTTGACTCAATGACAGGCCGTATGATACAGCACGCACGTGCTAACCATTCGGCCATCCAACTCCCCAGTTGTGAAGGAAGGATGGGATAAAAAAGACCGAAGTTCTGTGTCCGAATTTGAAATGATGTAGGGGCTGCTGTGGCTCAGTGCGTAGTCGGGACTTTTCTGGCAAGGGATCCCTTGTCAGTGGTGTAGGACGGAAGGCATAGGGACAGCATGTTGTTCGGATGACATGAAAAACCGAGGTCCCGTGTACACATTGGCGTGGTGATGTGTGGGGCGTGGAGGGAGGAACTCTAGTTTCGATCCACCACTAAAAAAACTGTTAATTGCTGGATTTGTAGAGTGGACGTTCAACCCTAAAACTCTCTTTTCATTTTCATTTCGAACGTCAATAAAAACCGATAATAATTGTTACCTTTGTATTAGAAAATAATGTTTTAAAACACATTAATACATAATATAAGTACTAGAAAAAAAATAACCACATTAAGTCATAACTGTACACACACTAAAATGTCGCACACTAGACTAAGTGAGCACACAGAAAAGGGTACCTGCATCAAAAAGTATTCAAACCAGCTTTGGTGGCAGCATACATAGTCGTACGAGCCAGGGGGGCAGCTTCGGGCAAGCTGACTTTTCGGGCAGAAGGGTAAAGTGAAAAAAAAAATTTATTTCATCTACTTGGCAAAATAAAGTGCCCGAAATCTAATAAAACACTAATTATACGGGCTGGAATAGCAGTAAAACGCGTTTGCGGCCGTCAAATATTCCAAAATTTTCTTCGGGGGTCCATACAAGGTCAGTTCTGCTTCTTCACATCTCAAAGAAAACCAGCGCCGCTGTCTGTAAACCTGAAATTTTTTCGGGCATTTCTAGTTTTTCTTCCCTAACTGTCATTTAGCCCTAATAAAACACTAATTTTACTTTTCTTTTAATTGAATACCACAAATTTGTACTGAGTTGACTATGGATTAAAACATTTTGTCTGGAGCCACTACTTTGGGCGACATTTTTCGAGCATCGATTATTATTTGTGAATGCAGCTGCAACGGTCTGATTGGATGGTTGGAATTCAGAATGGGATTTCGGTTACAAAACCATTAACTCCAAAAAGGAGTTGCTTACACGGGCTAGAATAGCCGAAAATGCATTTGTGGTGGTTAGATTTTCAAAATTTTCTCCGGGAGGGTGAGACTCCCCATACCCCGCTACGATTGATTGGTTGTTTGGAATTCGGGTCAGCCAGGTAGGCTATATTGGACCAAATTGAAGTTGCTGTATTCACAGACTGGAATAGCAGGAAAATGCGTATGCGGCTGTTAAATTTTCAAAATTTTCTCCAAATGGTCCCGCCTCCGTGGACTGTAAACGATTGATCTTTTGATTGGAATTTGAGTCAGCCATCTTAATTAGGCTATATTAGACCACTTTGAAGTTGCTTTGTTGACGGGCTGAAATAGCAGGAAATTATGTTTGCAGCCGTCAAATATTCAAGAATTTTCTTGGGGGGTGGGGGGTACAATACAAGGGGAGCTCTGCTTCTTCCCCTCTCGAGGAAGATCGGCGCCGCTGTCTGTACACCCGAAATTTTTTCGGGCATTTCGGGTTCTGCCCCCCTAACTGTCATCGAGCATACTTAATATTTCACAGAATCAAGGGATGAATAAACTACTAGACTGCAAAATTCCAGAAGCCTCCTTTGCTGTTTTGTCGACATATATTACCATAGACGTACCAAAAATATGGGAAAATCAGGTTATTTAAGCTCACTGCACACATAATAACTTCTTAACTAGCTTTGGTGGCTCCAAGATGTTTATGTTTTCGAATTAACGGATGAATAAGTTATGAACATATCAATGTTCATTACCTTTCTATGATGCATTATCAAATTAGGCTGCTCGTAGGAGACCCGGCTTTACACGTGCCCAAACTCGCCCAGAGTCTAAATTACCGAACACAAATTGGCAACCTATTCGGCTAGTGAGCTATTCGACCGATCCAGCTGGCAACCTATTCAGAATTAAGACAACAGTCGCCCAAACTCATCTATTTTTACCAACCAATAAAATCCAACGTTACGTCTATCAAATGAAAGTAGAATAATATATTATTTTTTATCCATTCCTTTAGCTCAGAATAGAGGTGTAATTTCGCATTATCGTACACAATTCTAGACATCCAACCAAATATATTCCGAAAGGTAATTAAATAGGCTTTCAAAATATTATCAGTAAAAGTTGGCACAGTCATATTAAAGGGGTGCACTCTCTTCCTAAACATGACTATTTTTTTTTTAAATTTTAAAGGGTAAAACTGTTAATAACCCGTGTCAAAATTCGGACCATCGTACAAAATTCTGATGATCCAACTAAATATATTCTAAAAGGTAATTGAATAAGCTTTCTAAATTTCATTAGTAAAAGTTGGCACAATCATATTAAAGGGGTGCGCTCTCATCCTAAACGTCGCCAATTTTCTAAATGTAAAAATAGACCGGTATTTTTTTCGAAGTCCAAATTCGGACCATCGTACAAAATTCTGAGCAACCAGCTATATATATTCTGAAAGGTAATTGAATAAGCTTTCTAAATGTTATTAGTAAAAGTTGGCACAATCATCTTAAAGGGGTGCGCTCTCATCCTAAATGTCACCAATTTTTTAATATTTTAAAGTGAAAAAGCGGTAATATTCCGAGTCAAAATTCGGACCATCGTACAAAATTCTGAGCATCCAGCTATATAAATTTGGAAAGGTAATTGAATCAGCTTTCCAAATATTATTAGTAAAAGTTGGCACAATCATATTAAAGGGGCGCGCTCTCAACCTGAACATAGCCAATTTTTCAATATTTTAAAGTGAAAGAACGGTAATATTCAGAGTCAAAATTCGGACCATCGTACAAAATTCTGAGCAACCAGCTATATATATTCTGAAAGGCAATTGAATAAGCTTTCCAAATATTATTAGTAAAAGTTGGCACAATCATATTAAAGGGGCGCGCTCTCAACCTGAACATAGCCAATTTTTCAATATTCTATATGTAAAGATAGACCAGTATTTTTTTCGAAGTTCAAATTCGAACCATCGTACAAAATTTTGAGCATCCAGCTATATATATTCTGAAAGGCAATTGGATAAGTTTTCAAAAAATTATTAGTAAAAGTTGGAACAATCATATTAACGGTGCGCGCTCTAAACCTGAACATATAGCTGGATGCTCAGAATTTTGTACGATGGTCCGAATTTTGACTCGGAATATTACCTTTCTTTCATTTAAAATATTGAAAAATTGGCTATGTTCAGGTTGAGAGCGCGCCCCTTTAATATGATTGTGCCAACTTTTACTAATAATATTTGGAAAGCTTATTCAATTACCTTTCAGAATATATATAGCTGGATGCTCAAAATTTTGTACGATGGTTCGAATTTGGACTTCGAAAAAAAATACCGGTCTATCTTTACATATAGAATATTGAAAAATTGGCTATGTTCAGGTTGAGAGCGCGCCCCTTTAATATCATTGTGCCAACTTTTACTAATAATATTTGGAAAGCTTATTCAATTACCTTTCAGAATATATATAGCTGGTTGCTCAGAATTTTGTACGATGGTCCGAATTTTGACTCGGAATATTACCGTTCTTTCACTTTAAAATATTGAAAAATTGGCTATGTTCAGGTTGAGAGCGCGCCCCTTTAATATGATTGTGCCAACTTTTACTAATAATATTTGGAAAGCTGATTCAATTACCTTTCCAAATGTATATAGCTGGATGCTCAGAATTTTGTACGATGGTCCGAATTTTGACTCGGAATATTACCGTTCTTTCACTTTAAAATATTAAAAAATTGGCGACGTTTAGGATGATAGCGAACCCCTTTAGATGATTGTGCCAACGTTTCCTAATAACATTTAGAAAGCTTATTCAATTACCTTTCAGAATATATATAGCTGGTTGCTCAGAATTTTGTACGATGGTCCGAATTTGGACTTCGAAAAAAATACCGGTCTATTTTTACATATAGAAAATT